CGTTGCCGCAGGGTCTTCCCGTTTGAGTACTTTTCAAGTTAGACCCAGTGCTGTGGAAGGGCGCGGACTTGTGCGGTGTTACCCCCCCGACGGGGGCTATCTCCCCTGGACTAGCCCAGGGAGGGAGAGGCGGAGGAGGGTAGTAGTCTCAGGAGGCTGTTTGGCGTCTTGTGGTGTGAGCTCTTTGCGCTCTTTTTTTTGCTTGAGGATTTTTGAGCTTGGTGACCTCCCCAGCCCGGGATGACTCGTCGGGCTCCCGGTCGCCCAGGTCCTGGTTGCGAGCTCTCTGAGATGCTCGGTTCGTTCGGTCGGCAGGAAGAGCCCCCCAGTTGCGACTTCGTTTATGTTAGGAGACCAACGGGCATAGATCCCGTCTAGTTGGAGCGCCAAACAAGCGCTGTTGCGTGCCGGCCGTCGTTTCCCGTGCGGCCTGACCCGGGGGCGGAGTGCATGAGACTAACCAGCCGTATGCACCCGCCCCTCGCGCTGTGCTTCGGCCCTGGGCCCCCGGCTTTTCAGCCCACAGTGTAATCAAAGTCATACATACATACATACATACATACATACATACATACATACATACATACATACATACATACATACATACATACATACATACATACATACATACATACATACATACATACATACAAACATATCCTCCTGTCTTTAGTGTGTTTGTCGTCCCGGCCCCCGCACATCTGCCCCCCCTCCCGGCCCCCGCACACTGCCACAGCGGACCAGGGCTTTGTCGCTCTGTTGGCACGTCACGTGGAGGTGCCCCCGGCGTCCTGGCAGAAGCTGCAGAATGCACTGGGGGGTCAGGACGGCCACTACTGGCAGTGAGTTGAACAGACAGGCAGACAGACAGGCAGACAGACAGACAGGCAGACAGGCAGACAGGCAGACAAGAGACAGACAGACAAGAGACAGGCAGCCAAACAGACAGACAGACAGACAGGCAGACAGACAGACAGGCAGGCAGACAGACAGACAGACAGACAAGAGACAGACAGACAGACAGACAGACAAGAGACAGACAGCCAAACAGACAGACACCGGGGGCTGGGAAGAGGCGCGTGCGCACATACAACACACGTACCCCCCCCTTTGTACACGAACACACAGCACACCATCCACCATCTTCTGTACTACTAGGCGCGATTTTGTACCATTGAAACTACACATTGCATCATCCCCCTCCAACGCATACAAAGCAACACAGACACACGCTTCTGCGTCACGGTTCAGTTCATGGAGACGCATGCGCGCATGCACATACATATCTATCTGTCTGTCTGTCTGCCCCGATGGCTTACAGGAGCTCCCATGCTCCCGGGGATTTCACCCGCACCTCCAACCTGCCGCAAGCGCGAGAGGGGCCCCAAGGGGGCGCGGAGACTGCTACGGCGGAGGAGGGCAGGGGCCTGGAGGCGGCGGGACATAAACCGTGAGTAGGAGGAGCCCTAACCCGACGCCGCGAGAGCGTGCGTATGTATGTATGTGCGTATGCATGTATGAATGTATGTATGTGTATGCATGTATGTATACGTGCTACGTTACCGAAGTAAAGTTGTGCATTACACATACATTGTGTACATGTGCAACGTATGTCTTAATGTACGTGTGTGTCTGTGCCTATGTCTATATGTGTGTATTCCATGCGGTATGCGGGAGAAGGGGAGGAGCTTTGGGACAATAAGGGAGGGTTACAGAAAAAGAAGGCTGCCGACTTGCATCTCACGTGGCGAGAGGATTTTAGGTTTTTAGGGGTTTTAGGGTTTTTAAATGTGGTGACACTGTGGTAACTTACTGGGCGACTAGGGCTTGACGTGTCGGGGTATGCAGAGGGGCCCATTTCTTGGGGGGCCCCACCGGCCGAGGAAAGGAGGTTTGGGGTTTCGGGAAGTACGACAGTTAAGCTTATTAGTGATTTATTAGTGGCGTGGGCGCAGCCGCGCCTGGGCGTGGCTCTGGACTTACCCCCGGTCGTGTTCTCTAAAACTCGTGCTTGTGTTTGTTTTTCCCCGCTCCCCCAACCCCGGGGAACCCCCACTGTCCCTAACTCACCGTCACTACCACCACGCGCCTTGCGGTCGAGACCCCAGCCGAAATTCGATTTTTGGCCTGCCCGTCATCCAGCCGTACAACCTGTTCGCCGTACTATGGACGATGGTCATTCTCTTCCTAGATCTGACGTACACGGCTTTCTGGGTCCCCATGAATGTGAGCACGGCTTGTGTGCCGCAATGTGTGCGTGTGTGTGTTTTGGGGGGAGGGTTGGATGGGAAGATTTGCGAGGGGGAGAAGAGAGATTGAGAACGCAGGAGGGTTTGTAAGGGCGGAGGAAGAGAAAGCGAAGGGGAGGGGGGAAGGGGGGCGCCGCTGGGTTTGTCCGGGTACGGCATGTTACATATTTTTAATATGTGGATGGATTTCATTACACAGTGTATCAGGATTCGCTATGTACCTGGAAGTGTGATATGAACACGTGTACACGGTGTTGAGGGTTTTTGTAAGGTCGGAGTGTGCCCCAGGGCGCCCTATTTCGCAGCGTTTCAATGACGCCATGTCTCACCCTTCTAACCCATCTAAACCCCGCGCCTGTTGCTCGGCTGGCGCATAGGTTGCGTTTTGTACGGCAGAGTACGGCAGGCTGTCATCCGGATGTACGACCAGCGACATCGTAGGCGGGGCGCTGTACTTGGCAAACGTGCTGTTGTGCTTCCAGGTGAGACCTCGTTACCCGGTGGGTGTCTGTGTGTGTGGGGGGGGGGGGGGGAGGTATGCTTCTTCCCAATGCACGGGGGGGATGGGTGTCTTGCCATGGTAGTCGTGTGTGTATTTGTATGTGTGTGTGTTTTGGGGTAGGGAGCCCGGAAGCTGTGCCATTTTATCCCAGCGCCAGTCTGTGATGCATCCATCCTTTTAACTATCTGTCTGTTTGTATGTTTATCTGACTGTTTTGATAATATGCTACTTTACCCGCAGATTGGTGTTGTTGCCACAAACGGCATTCGGAAACGAACCGTGGTGGATGGTCGTCTCGTATCCTGGCTGTACATCTGGCACGGCAGATTCGTACTGGATGCCGTAGCGTCCGTACCCATGTTGTACTTGATTGTCGTACTGGCGGGTCAGTCACATTTTCGGCTGAACAAGGGCTGGGTCAACTGCTTGTCGCTGCTGAGGTTGTTGCGCATGGTGCGGTTGGTC